GTAGGGCCCGGGACCCCGCGGGCAGCTCTTCCCCTGAGGCCCGGCCCCGGCGCGTTGTGGGGCTTCCTCCGACTCCCTGCCTCTTCCCTCTCTGCATCTCCCTTCAGCCGCCTGGGCTAAAATGTCCCCTTTGGTTGTTTTCAGCTCAATGCTCCAGAGGGGGAAACTCTCCAGGAAGACTCCAGTGATTCAGAAGTAGAAAATGAAGCAAAAGGTAATTTACTGACCAAAAAGCCAGCCTGGGTGGATGAAGATGATGAAGCAGAGGAAAAGTAAGTTCGAGTTTGAAGGTTAGAACTGCATGTCACACTTAAGAATGATAGAAAGCAGCTTCAGTTTTAATAATCTTCATGTTCTTGTGTGGTTTTTCTTTCTAGTGTTGATATGACCCATAGATATAGGAAAGACTTCATGAAAAGTGATGCTGAGACGACACTTACTAAGAAAAAGCTAAAAAGAAGGCTTGAAGAACAGTGAGTTCTGTTAATTTTATTAATATGAAATAAGTTTATGTGATAGTCATAGAATCCTGGAATGGTTTGGGTTGGAAAGGTCCTGCCACTGCAGGCGCTTGTAAAAAGTCCCTCTCCAGATTTCTTGTTGTCCCTTTAGGTGTTGGAAGACTGTTACAAGGTCTCCCTGGAGCCTTCTCTTCTCCAGGCTGAACAAGCCCAGCTCTTTCAGCCTGTCTCCAGAGCAGGGGTGCTGGAGCCCTTGGAGCATCTTCATGACCTCATCTAGACTTGCTCCAACAGCTCCGTGTCCCTTTTGTGTTGGGGCCCCCAGAGCTGGATGCAGGACTGCACTTGGGGTTGCATGAGAGTGGAGTAGAAAGGGAGTATCCCCTCCCTCAACCTGCTGGTTACTTGTTTTGATGCAGCCCAGCACATGGTTGACTTTCTGGTCTGCAAGTGCATGCTGCTGGCTCATGTTGAGCTTCTTGTCAACCAGCATCCCCAAGTCCTCCTTATGGCTGCTCTCAATTCAGTCTCTGTCTGGCCTGTAGTTATGCTTGGCATTACCCCAACCCAGATGCTGGGCCTTGCATTTGGCCTTGTTCAAAGTCACTTTCTTCTTTACCTGCTGTGTTCATGCGCCCTGTTTAAAGCTAGTGCTTCTTACAGTATCTGCAGTGCTTATAATTCCAAAATACTAAGAATAGTGAATAAAATGTGTATTAGTGTTGTCTAGGCTAACTTGTTTAATATTTGTTTTAGTAGGGGAGCACAAACTGATTTGTCTTCTAGAGAGTTACATCAAAGTTCATTGTAGTGATACACTGTGTTGTAAATAGTGTGATTGAAGATGCTCTCTTAGTATGGTGTATAAGAATGAGCTGAAATGGGAATAGCGAAGTAGATGTGTTTGGGTTGTCATGGTATTAGCATGTCTCACTCCAAAGAACAGTGTTTTAATGTTTGGTATGAGTTTTACTCTAGTTTCACATTCAGGAAGTCAGAGAAACACAGAAAGCTGAGTGAAGTTTTAGCAAACTTGTATAGTGTTGCAAGTGCAAATAATCCTGCAAAATTGTGACTGAACATCTTGTAAGTACTTAATACATAGAAGGAAATTACTTTTCTCAAAAAAGGGGGGTTTTCCCCTCTCTTTCCCCCTCACCCTTCTCTTGGCAGGTTTCAGCGAGCTATGGGAGGAGTTCCTGCCTGGGCTGACTTGGAAAACAGGAAGAAATCGAAAAAGACTACAAGTGATAGTAAGTAGAAATCCATTACTACTCTAATAAGTATTGCTGACTTTTCCTATTTAGCTTAAATGATTATTTTCATGTTTCCTCAGTTTCAGTAATGCGATAATATGCTGCATAAATCAGCTTTATTCCTTTCTTCAGTGTGCTTTGATTTAATTTATTTCTGTAAGGAATTTCTAGGTTTTAATGTGGAAGTGTTTATGGAATTAGCCTGTTCAGTGCATTTTGCTTTAATTAGGTGAGAGTGATGAAGATGATGATCTGCTACGCAGGACTGGCAATTTTGTATCTAATTCAGAGTCCCTGCCAAGAGGTATTTTGAAGGTAAAGGCAAGCCTCACCTTTCCACTTCAGTTTGATCCATTTGCATGCTTTGGCTTCTTTGTTGCTATTCGGGCACTAAAACTTGTGAGGGTATGAATTTCTTCTTTGTTAGTGTAACTGGAAGCCCTGGAGGGTGAATAGTTTGACAGATTGAATAGTTCGTATCATGAAAGCATGGAACAATAAATTGAGATGTGTTGTTTGACATAAGAATTATGTTATGTACTCTGAAGTAGCATCTTCCAGTAGGATTTTAGTTTCTGCATAGGAAGGGTATAATTCTTCCACAACTTTGAGAAGTTGTCTTTGAGAAGTGACAGCTTTAATTTAATTGTTTCTTATAGTATCTCTTCTATACCTATTTCAGATAAGTCTGAATGCAACTAGTTTTACACAGACTGTTAATTCCGAAGTCAGTAGAATGGGTGGCTAGTTCATCTTATGTCTACACTGCTGCATTGAAGCAACTTATTGAACTTCGTGTATGTTCCACTTACATTTTGCTGTCAAAAAGTTCTTAAGGTTTGAGATCTTGCTCTTGCAGAGTAAAGGACACTTAATTGGCCATTCACCAGCATAAACAAAAATGTCAGTTGCATAGGGTTGTTTTAACTGCTTGCTCTGTGTTTCAGATGGGGATCTGCTTGCCTGCTAATCAGGAACGTTTTGCTAATGGAAGACTGGCAACTGTGCAGTTTCATCCATCTGCTCAAGTAGTCATGACTGCTGGACACGATCGATCCCTGTCACTCTTTCAGGTGAAGAATTTCAATCTATCAGATGTAAATGGCCTCTAATATGGAACTTTTTTTTTTTATAAGTATACCTGAAATAGCCCACAGGACTGCAGGAAAGAACAATGCAAAGTAAATATTTCCATTAGAGAAGCACAATAGAAGTGATAATTTGACCAAAGCCTGGGCAAGACAGGGAAGGGTAAGAGGTGTGGAATACATCCGGGAAAGCTGGGAGTGCCTGATGTATAGGGTGAAGAGCTAAGAGCCAGGTTCTTTGTAGATTGAGAAGAGGAGATTAATGCTTCAAACTGGTGTACCTCTTACTGTTAAGTCTCTTGTACTGGCTAGTTGATAGGAATTTTCTATGCAAAAGTATTTGGTATGTTCCTTAATATGATCTGTTTGTTTTTGAAGGTTGATGGTATAAAGAATCCAAAAATACAGAGCATCTACTTAGAGAGTTTTCCAATTTATAAGGCTTGCTTCAGTGTTGATGGGGAACATGTTATAGCCACTGGTACTCACCACAGAATGTTCTTTGTGTATGACATGATGAGTGGAAATATCATTCCTATACAGAAAGTAAGAGGTATGTTTCATAGTGCTGTAAGTGTCTGGGTATGGTTGAAGCTATCTCAGATAGAGATGGATACGAATTGGCTTTAAAAGGAAATGCAGTGAATTGTTGGAAGTTGTATTTTTAACTTGTCTTCAGGGATCCTTATTCATGTACGTTTAGCTTTAATTTGTCTGGGATATTAAAAGCCAATTGTTGCCCATAAACAAGGTTGAGTTGTAGCTTTACTGTGACAGTGTACTACAGAAATGAAAAGCTGAACTGGTCTTGTTCATATGCAGAGTACCTTTGAATGTTGAGGAAAAAGAATAAATTATGCCCATTTGAAGTTCTGAACCTCTTTTTAAAGGTGTGGATGAAAGATTCCTCAGAAGTTTCGAACTCTCTCCAGATGGATCATTTATGCTTGTAACTGGAACTTCAGGTTACCTTCACCTGTTGTCAATGAAGGTAGTTTCTCTTCATGGTTCATGTAGCTTCAGTTCCTTGGTACCTTTTCCCTCTTGAATCTGACGAGTTGTATATAATCTTAAAAGCAATTTAGCTCTCAGTCAAAACAAAGGTATGAGACTTACATGACAACCTTTAAAAAGGAGCTGCTGAATCAACTAACTGGAGCTTTAGAAAATTATTTTGGGGTGTCTTGAGATTTTTTTTCTTTCTGCAGTTCTCTTTGGGTCTGGTGGAGCTAAGGCCAGAGTCTGGCAGGTTTTTAGGCTATCGCTGGGAACAATTTTATGTCAATGTTGTATTTCAGCTGCTTGCATGAACACTGTGCTGGCAAAAGGAATGGTGTCAGCATGGGAACAGGCATCTGAGGGTGGGAGAAATACAGGGCTGCTTTTTTGGGAACAGCGCTAGTGCATGCTGGTGTACTGTGTTTGTGAATCATGCCATCTCCTGTGATTCATAATGCATACAGAATTTCTTCAGTTTTAAAATGCCCTATGATGACAGCTGGATTTGTTTTAAACTTTTACTAAGAAAAATACTTCTTAAAAAGGAAGTTCAGTTCTGTAGTGGAGCAATAACAAACTGATCATGGTTCACAGCCATGGGCTTTGTGCTCTGGTCTGTAGGCATTGAAAATGTTGATGCTGTTCTTTTAATGTCAGTGTTGCTATCTTAAATATTTTTGTGAGAAGGAAGTATGGAAGCAACTTTCCTACAGATTTTGGTAGAATCATTGTTACTGTTGTTGTTTGTCCTATAGACAAAGGAACTGATTAGCACTATGAAGGTAAATGGAAGATGCACTGCATCAGCTTTCACTCCAGACAGCAGTAAAATATATAGCTATTCAAGTAAGTATTCTGTCTAACAGCACTAATCATAATCCTGTTTAATTTGCATAAGTTTTTCTAAGTCATTGTTTTAAGAAGATACTTAAAAGACTTTATACCAGCATCTGGCCTAAAAAGACAACCAAGTCATCAATCATTAAATAAGAGTTAACTATTTTAATATGCCTTTAGTGTTTTGGTTTTTTAAACACTCTGTATTTGATAGTTGTAAATGAGCTAATAGTTGTCATCTAATGAAATTCATAATGACAAAATAGAGACCCGGTATGTTCTGTATATGTGGTTTCTGTGATCTACTTTATTCTGCAACCAGAGGAAGGCGAAGTTTTCATTTGGGATGTGAGAAGCAGAAAGTGTCTACACAAATTTGAAGATGAAGGTTCTTTGGAAGGGAAGTGCATCGCTGTTTCAAAAAATAACCAGTATGTGGCATGTGGGTAAGTGACATGGATTTGACAACTTCCTATCTCATCTAGAACTCTTCAGTAAACTTACTGGTGGATGGTGAGAGTGTAGGAACATGGAAGAAGTTTATTTTTAATGAGGTCAGAGTAGAGGTAATAGATTAATACTGCCTCTTTTATGATAATAACTTAACTTGTTGTGTATATATCTAAGATACCATAACACACTTAATACCAGACTCGCTCCTAATGTATTACTGTCACCATACATGGGTTTAGCAGCTAATTCTAAAATCATACTGACTGAAATCACAAATTCTGTAGTACAAATGTTGATTGAGGCTCTTCTCCCTTTTCTAGTTCTCTTTTCTATGCTGCTGATCTGGCTCGTGCAAGGTAGCATGTTAGCATTTGAAATGGTGCTTCAGCTCAAAGCTACAAGCTTGAAAGTGTTTTTCCACGTGGACTTACCAAGATAAAAGTTCAGCTAGTGCATGGATTCTTTTAAATCAAACTAGCAAGTATTAAGTACAGTATCCATTTTCTTAGCCCACTGTAGAAGAGGAATTTTAGGTGAACTTTAGAGGGTATTAAAAAAAAAAAAATCAAAAAGCTTGAATCTCTCAGTGTCTTTTGATACCAAGCTCTCGTTGCATTGAACTGATGCTGTGTAAGAGATGGGCTTATCAAAGCTCTCCACAGTTAAGCATGTGTCTATAAATAAATAAGAATCCCAAATACAAGCCCCTCCACTAAATACTGTTATAAACTCCAAAGCAAAATCAAGATCCACACAAAATATTGTTACAAACTTCAGTAAATGATTGGATATGTGGCTATAAATAACAAGATCATATAGAATCATAGAATAGTTTGGGTTGGAAAGGACTTTAAGATCATCCAGTTCCAACCTCCTGCCATGGGCAGGGATGCCTCACACTACACCATGTCACCCAATGCTCTCTCCAACCTGGCCTTGAACACTGCCAGGGATGGAGCATTCACCACTTCTTTGGGCAACCTGTGCCAGGGCCTCACCACCCTCACAGTAAAGAACTTCTTCCTTAGATCTAACCTGAACTTCCCCTGTTTTAAGTTTGAACCCATTACCCCTTGTCCTACCACTACAGTCCCTAATGAACAATCCTTCCCCAGCATCCTTGTAGGCCCCATATATACTGGAAATATGCCTCCTTGGTATAGTCCTTGTTAATTTCTTTCCGTAGTTCAGCTTCTGGAGTTGTAAATTTATATACTACGGATGGCTGTCTCAAAGAACACCGTCCTAAACCAGTCAAAGCCATAATGAACCTCGTTACATCTGCTACGTGTGTGACCTTCAATCCCACCACGGAAATCCTGGCAGTGGCTTCCCGTGAAACTGATGAGGCTGTCAAGCTGGTATGTGCAACTTTAGTGCAAGCTTTTTGTGTCTTGATCAGAAATGTTACTGGTGACATGGTAAGACTTGATATTGAGCAGAGATGTCGACAGCAGAATTCGCTAGACAGCAGATCAGTTCATATACTAGATACTGTACATATATAAAGAAATACTTTTTTTTTCAGTGAAGTTGTTCTGAAAATAACATGGTGCAGTTTCCCTTTTGTTTCTCCCTTTTGAAAATGCCTTTATTTCAGTGCTGTAAATAGAGCTCAGCATAAAATGTGAATTTTCAGCAGCTGTTAACTGGGCTTTATGTGGTGTTTTCCATAGCTTATTCAAAATTTTGCCATGCTTGTCAGAATTCTGGCCAATAATGGAACTACTGAATTAATCTGAGGGTTTGGAAGCCTATTTTTACTGCTTAAATGTAATTACTTAGAAATAAATGAGTTGTAATAACTGGCTTCATAGTGTGTTCCCTGCACCTTTTCTCCAGTGGAACTCTGTATGTGGGTGGTGTGGGATGGGAATATAACTGAACATTTGAACTTGACATTGACCTGCAATTCTAAATTTGTACTGAAATTAGAATTTTAGTGGCTTTTTCCTAGTCATTATAACTAATGACCTGTTTCTCAATAGGTACACATTCCTTCATACACTGTATTTTCAAACTTCCCAGTGTTCAGAAGAAAACAGATTTATCTTGCTCAATCTATGGACTTTTCTCCCAGAAGTGGGTTTTTCTCTATAGCAAATAACAAAGGCAAAGCTTTGTTATTTAGGTATGTATTAAGTTAGGTTCATTAATCCCAGATAATGTGGTTATATTTTGTAAGATGGGGCAGTTGACTGGTAAATGATAAGGTTTGACTTCATGAGCTGAATTTTCTCTGATGACTTGAGTGCGGAGCTGACTTTCCCTTCTGGAGAATGAGGCTTGTTTGTCTGAATACAAGACACTCACTGCTGCAGACATCCCTACCAAAACAGTCATTGTCCTTTTCTGAAATTAATAGGATGCAGAAAGGCAGATACTGGATGCTCTCCCCATGAAAAAAAGATAGTTCAGAGGATTAAAAGATGATCTGTGCTTCAGTGTTAACATCTGTATCTGGTGTTGCTTTGTTCCAGTTGTAAAGACAGAGTGGAGCATCGTTGGAGGGAGGGAGGGTGACTGAATGCTGGCACATGTTGCTAGGTTGTGGAGACTCCATCCTTGGAGATACTCAAAAGCCATATGGGCATAGCACAGGGCAGCTGTCTTTGGCTCTGCTTTGAGCAGGGGGATGGACCAGGTGACCTCTGGAAGTCCCTGCCAACCTCAAAAACCATTCTATCGTGCTGTGAGCAACGGTCATGCTCAGTGTAGAAGCTGTTGCTTCTTTATGTTGTTCACTCAGCAGGTTACTGAAAAGCTTTAAATGTCTTACCTTTTTTTCCCCCACTTCAGGCTGAAACATTATTCAGATTTTTAAAAGAAGATACAGGAGAAGATGGACCAGTAACTGAGGTAAAAGCACTAGAACTGTGACAACATTGTCTTGAGGAACCTTATTTTCATTTTGCTACCTCCACCGCTTTGTAGATGGCAATAAGAATTCCTTGATACTGTGTAATCTGAAACTGTTCTGTCTGGATCATTGTGGAGTAGGCTCCACATGATGGGCAAGAGTCAGGTTTGCCTTGTCAATCTCTGCTTTTCCAGTAATACTTTTACAGGGAGTTGGTAGTTCCACTAAACTTCTGCTGAGTCCTGTTGACAACAACAGTGTTAGAAATCTGAACATATTTAAGTCAAACTCACAGGCACTGTTGTTAAAAACAGCTATTTTCTGGCAGTTACTTGGCTTGATCCTGTTATGAAGTCATGAGACCACCCTCACTTTCCAGCTAGGGTTACATAAATTCCTGAAGTTTGTGTGCAGATACTATTTTATTGTACACTTTAACCTCTTCTTGGGAAACTGGAAAGACCTGGAGCCTTGACAGTAATATAGTAGTTCTGAGACCCAAAAATATGTTAATGATTAAAAGCTAAACTTATTCAGACTGGAAGCAGGTCTTCTGCATGTTAAGTTTGCATAGAATTTTGTGATGGCTAATTGGAAGATACTAACTAAGTTCTCTGTACTGATCTTTCTCTAGGTGTTGTAACCTGCAGATACAAGTATGCTGGCAAAATCAAACAAGTTCTTTTTTATTTTATATGGAAGCTAAAAAAAGTACTAATATAACATCTGTGAGTTTTTCAGTGTGTTTTTCTTAATAAATGTACCTGATATGGTTTCAGGCAAGTTGTTTCAACTTCAAACTTTTTCCAATATTTTGTGTAAGCAAGTAGATTTTAATGGCTAATGTCTTCAAGAAACACTTAAATGTCTTTATTATGAGCATATGAAGTATTCCAGTGCTGAAACAGAAAATACTACTTTTATGTAAACTCTAACCTCTGCTCTGTGCATTCGGCTTGAGCTTGGTCATCAGCCACGTTCATTTGAGGCTGGGTTGGAAAAACATTTTGCTGGCTGGGGGAGCAAATTAATATGGAGCCCTGGTGATGCTGGTGGTATAGTTCAGCTCAACTTACTGGGCCAGCTATAGCCTAAAGGCAGTCTAAACCAATATGTAAGCAGTACCACCCTCACTTGTGCTTAATGCATCCTAAGAATCACGAAGACAACTGTTTCTAACATGGTGTTCATTCCTAACGAAGACTCCATTCTTAGCTTTCTGTGAAAGCAAAGCATCCTGATTATACATCATGCTTGATGTTTTTAAATCAGTTGTGAAATTGATACCATTAGGGTCACCTAGAAAGGACTGCTTTACAGCCCATGTTGCTGGGTCTTCCCCTGATGCCAGATAGAATACTTTTGATCACTTTGTTCCTGATGTGGCTACCTCTTTTCTTTTTTGAGTACATGAACAAAAAGTTGGCCAGGAATCTACTACAAGAAAAATCCTGCTTTAAGAATGAATTGTGACTAATATGTCTGTCCACTTCACATGAGGAAGCTTTCTGGACAGTAACATCGAAGAGCCAAGATGCTGAAACTGCTTTATGCCTTCACTAGAGGGCAGCCCTTAACCACTTTTGTGGAGACTTGACTGCTTCATGATGCTGAATAGTTTGTCCTGTGACAGCACTGCTGAAGAGTGAGGTTTTGGTTGCGGTTATTGACACAATTTTCCTTTTTAAAACAATCTCTGTATTTTGCCATTAGGAAGGTTTAAGTAGTGTGACTTGATCCATAAAATTGTTAAATCATTTTAAATCAAAGTGTTCTAACAGGCTTTTAAAATATATTGTCTCTTACCATGTCTCACTGAAGTAGTGGTGGAGTATTTTATTACTATTTAATCCACTTTTCCTGAGCCTCTGCTGCTCTTTGCACAGTATGTGCTTCTCCAGTTTACCCAAGAAAAAAATAATCCCAAATGCAGTGATTCAAACCATATAGGAGTCACTGGCAGATTTAAAATTGGAATTTGAAATAAGGTGTTCCTGGTCTTGTTTAGTTGACAAACACAACTGTTTCTGGTGTTCTTCGCCCATTGTCAGAGGTCTGGATTGGATGGAGCAGTAATTTAAATGGAAAAGGTGGTACATACTCCTTGTATCACTGTAAATAATTTCAAATAGTGGCAGGAAAGAAGGAGAGATTAAACAATTGTTTTTGCAAATTGTATGTTATAAGTTGCAAATACGAAGCTCTGCACTGAGGTGGGGGGAGCACTGCAGAACAATGTTCAAGCTCTGTACTAAATACCTTAATTCTTGCTGTTGCGTTTTTGTCTTCTGGAAAACATAACTATGGCCCCATCCAATATGAAATAGGGAAGACATTTGCCTTCAGAAGTAAAGGAAACCGCAAGGTGCCTGTTGTGTTTTCTAATGGATTTTAGGCAGTGAAACTTTCAGGTACTAAGCAGGTCTTAGGTTGGATGATAAGAAGTATTCATGTCATCCAACCTAACCAACAGCAAGAAGTTGAAATTGTTACTAGAGTATCCAGACATACTAATTTTCAATAGGATAAATTACTATTAAGAGTACATATCACTGTGCTTCATTCTGAAAAACTCTGCTCTTTGTCAGTGTGCCATGTGTTAAAGAGTACTTAAGCTTCTGACCTATTTAAAATCTCTTTGTATTTAATGCCTTTTTTCTAGTGTGGCTTTTTTTCCTGGCACTACTAAGCTGAGGTTCTTTTAATGAATTATTTCTCAGCTTTTCCTCTCCTTCCATTCTCCTTGGCAAAATAAATTTTATTGATGTAGTCCATTAAATATTTATCACGGCAGCCTTTCCCCTTCAGGCTATGATCTTGTCCGATTTTGCAAGCTAAATAAAATTAGTCTGGTTAGTGCTTGGAAAGGAAACCTCCGAGAAAAAAAGAGTGAATTACAAGATCTGAGAGTAACATTCGTTACTTAGAAGATTATTGGGTTTGCTGCTAAGCCTGTTTTGAGTTTGCTGTTAGACCCTGCTCCTGGTTGAGAGCTCTGGCGTGCAGTGGATTTAGCAAATTCTTAAAGGCCTGAACGAGTTTTGTGTCCCATGTCTCAGTCAATATCCGGGTTTGCTGCACTCCAAATTACTGGGAAGTTCTGGTTCTGTAAGTCTCTTCCATGCGGAACTGTTTCAACTGCTACATGATTTTTTCCAAATCCTTGCTGATCAGACAGCAAATGGGATCCTCCTCTTTGGATGTGGTGCTGAACCCATCTAGTGGATGTGGCAGTTGTAGCACACCCTGAAAAGAGGTTGGTTTCTTGGCTAAGAATGTTTCTTCAAGGGCTTTTGGTGATCCTCTAAATCCCTTTTTTGCTATAAATCTAAGATCTAGGAGAAGGATGCAAAGCTTTTTGGAGGGCATCTGAAATAAGTTTGTACAGGATAAAATCCTCCATTTCCACTGTCCCTTACGTCCAGGAGTTTATCTGGTATCCAGCACACCACAGCGTTGCTTCCTCTTGCACTGAATTCTGCTGTATTTATGCTGCACTTCCTTTGGGATAACTAGCAGCAGGGATGTGCTGCACTCTTAATGACACATTACTGTCATTATTTGGATTTCTTCTTTGAAACTATGGAACAATGATTGTTTTTTTTCCAGTACAAAACATTTCTTGGGTACTTGTTTGGTTTTGTCCCAGGTGTCACAGGGAGATGGCAGTATAGTCCAACCCATTTTGGGACATTTTGATTGAGGCAGTCTGCATCTGTGTATTTTCTTCCAGTGGTTAAAACTATGGAAGTTGTCCATCTTATTAAATTATTTTGAGATCCCTTACCCTGAATGAAATCTCACCAGCTGATCAGGCACTTTGAAATGGCTGCAATATGATTTGGTTTTCATAATAGAGATTGTAAAATATGCCTGAGATCTCAGTCTTCACAGTGCTATATTTTGCACATGAGATTGCCTGCCATATGAGACTTCCATTTTGTGTGTGCAGTATTGAATGTTTTATTATGTTTAAACAGATGGAAGAGTTGGAGCAGAGGGGAGTTTGGAAGCACGATGCAGGAGCCCTTACTTATAACTGCTACGCATTGCTGCTATTCTGCCTTGTCAGAAGATCAGGGATCTGTATTTATTATGAGTTTAGTATATATTCTGTGGTATTTTCAGTCAGTTTCTGCTGAATTGAGACTGACTTAAGAAATTAAGCCTAGCAAGATGTTTTTAGCAGATTTATGTGGTTCGTAACTGGGGGGAATTGAACTTCAGTTTAGGGTCTTTGAAAACATCCTTTTTATGAAGACTGAGTAACTTCCGTCTGCAAATCCCAATGCAGCGTACACGTAATAGGAAAATAACGTGGGATTCATGAGTAAGAGACCAATTTGTATAAGCTGATTTTGTATTTTAACAGCCGTAATTGCATGTAAAAATACTCACATTGACACAAACTAGTTTTTCATCTGCATAAATCTACCTAGCAGAGCCAGGCCCCCAAGCTACTGGTAATAACTATAGAGAAACTTGTGGGCTGTCAGTTCTCAAACTACTTTGGGCTGCAGTGTCTCAGCTGTGTATATACACTGAGATGAAGCTATAGAATAAAGTGATGCGTACCAATTAAGATTAATTGCTGTAAAAGATTGAGTACTATGAACAGATACTTGGACAAAATTGAGCAAATCTCCACATAAAGTTTTGTTTCTTGAAAAAAGTAATACATTGTTTGTCTGAGCAATGCTGACTTCCTGTCCTTAAATTTGTCTTGAGCCATTATAACTGGATGTAATGACTTTTCTAGCATAGTTGTGGAAAATGAATAGAGACTGTACTTGGGATCCCTCAAGTGTGCAGATTTCAGTTACAGAAGAGGCCATGCCTGAATGTGATTTCCAGTTGAGTGGAAAACTCTTTTGTGACTCTGATTCCTGGTTTAAATGATGTGACATCAGCCTTGATAGCAAATGCCTTACTCCAAAGATGCTGAAGAATTCAGTAATATATAGGGGCAAATCAAAAGTGTTAAATTTTATATAGTCAAGCTTCCCAAACAGGCTTTGGGGTAAGTCTGAACTGTTGGAGATTTCAAAGCCTTTTGAAATTCAGGGCTGTAAACAAAACCCTTTCCCATTGTAGGATGGGGATTATTTATCTTATTTGTAGCTTTTGAAGCAATGCTGCAGCTTCACCCTTATCCCCTGTGAAGCTGAATCCGTGTTTCACATTCCTCCAAGGATTTGCATGAAAGGCATGGTAGATGCAGACTGAGTAAAGGTGCAGATCACTGTGGTCAGAAGAGGAGCCACTATTTTGCTTAACATAATAGCAGTTTGTACTTGCAGCAGGTACAATGTCCACTTGATAGTCTTACAGTGAAGGTGCTACATAAATCAGTGTCCTAAAGCCCAGCAAGGCAAAGCTGTGGAAAACTCTTCATGTATTCTCTGACTGTCGTCATTGGTACCTGCAGCCCCTTCAGTCTGAAGATCCAGAAGGGCTTTATTAAGGCAAGAAGTCATGCTCATCTCATGGGTGGAGGGAAAGAGGCACAGAGGTGAAATGAGTTACATACTGAGTCAGAACAGGGAATTTCAGCTTAGTTTCTTCATCTCGCTTCTTTTAAACACTAGATCAGCTTGTCTCATTGAAGACCATGCCTTGTTCGGTTCTTGCATGCAGACCTGCTGTTTCCTTTGTTACTAGCTTGTAGTTCTTGAATGATGCTTAAGGTGTTTCATTCATTCTCCATTCTGTTCTCCTTCCCCAGATACTTAAAAGTGGCTCTGCTGATGAATGTGGTATTTAGATTGT